ACCCAGACAGCAGCTCACCCAGGATTTTGCACCCTTGTTTGGGGCGTTGCACGGTAGCACCCTGATAACCAGCGTGTTTCATCAACCCTGTTGGACCAACGCAGGCAATTCCTCAAAGAGCCTCAGCAGGGCACAGAGGCAGCTCTCTTGCTTATTAAAAACCATGAAGCAGCCTGGGAGCACTCACATTGGCAACCACTGTTAGGTAACCCGCAGAGTGAAGACACAAAGTTTGGCAGCCCTCTCCACAGCTGAGAAAGAAAGCCATGAAATTAGTAATAGTAGGGCGTGTGTGATATCCTAGCCTTGATCTTGCTACTTCTGACCCAAATACTGGCCTGGGTACAACTCWGGGTTTGAACAGACTCAGGAATGAGCGGAAGGAAGCTGGAGCCAGCATGGACAAGACAAACCCTGGCAGCTACAGAAAGAGAGAAGGATCTCTCTATTATACCAGATTTCTGGAGTCCCTTCCCAGGGACCAGCCAACTACAGGATACGCAGGAAAGATTCAATGATTCAAAATGATTCACTCCTCCCGTTTGCACCTGGGGCGGGTGGCAACGCCGCTCGTCCAGGAAGCACTATGTTGGAAAGATCCACGTGCACTAGCTCACAGGCACAGTCTGAACGGGTATTTGGGAGGCAGCACGGGCACACATTCCAGTACCCACGAAACGCCACCCTGCAAACAACGCAGGGTTTGGCATCAGGCGGAGGTTTGTTTGCTTGTTGTGGCGTTTGTGGTTACCTGCAGGTACCTGCAAGAATCCCACGAGACACCATCACGGGTGTCACTRCACGGAGCAATTTCACCCCATTAACCCTCTGAAAAGCCACATCTAAAAAGTAATAGTAACAATAATACGTGCATTCAAAAAGGAAGTTTTCTGCCAGTGTTGCAAGCTGAGTCAGCTCAAGACATGGCCAGAAAAATGCCAGAGTGGCCTTAAAAGAAAAGAAACGCAGGCTGGTGGGGCACAGAGATCCCCTTGCAGGGCTGAAGGGCATCACATCACAGCGGGAACTGAGCCCGCTTGGCTCCGCAACACAACTGCCCCATGCCCACTGCTCAGCAGCATGGCCTGGGATCGCTCCCAAATTAAGCCCCCTTCTTGGAAGGGGCTATTTGTTACAGAGAGAGAAGGAGAAAGATCAAACCAGCGGTACATAGGTAAAAATCACGGCACGTTACTTGGGAAAGATGACTCAACCCAAATCAAGAGGGACGTTAGGAGCCAAGAGGAGCAGCATTGCAGCAAAATAAGGCATTTGGAGTGGAAAAGCAGCCACAACAGGAATTCCCTTGTGATGAGACATGAAATATTATTACATAATTGTCTGAGCAATTAAAAGGCAGCCCTCAACTAACCACTTCTCTCCCTCTTGCCCATCCCTGGCGGGGGAAACGATCTGGGAGGCTGGAAAGGCGCGCAGGGGGATGCTGTGCCATCACTTGCTACAATTTCATCAAGCCTCGGTCGCTGCCCATCGCCAGCTCTTGGTGCCAATTAGACAAATTAGCAGGCAGAGGAACAAACAACCCCGGCACATAATGCAGTCGGACAGGTCAGCCTGCTAACGGAGCAGAGCAACAACCATCAATCCCGCAACCRCGAGCTCCTCGGGAAACTGTGCCCCAAGACTGCACATGACTTTGCAGATAGAAGATCCAGGCATGAGAGAGGTTAGCAAGGGAATTCCAGAAGTCCCTGCTGAACACGCACTGCAACCTCCTGCAGCGTGGTTTTAGGGCCATTTAAATTTAGTCGTGATACGCTGTATTTTGTGTTAATGCTATGAGTTTACCTGAACTGTCGCTTAGCAAAAAGGGAAAAGTGAGACCTCAGGTTTCCCCTTTGCAAAAAAGGAGAGTATTTCTCAGCATCCTTCCTTTGGGAAATGAGACAGATGCATTATATCAAGGGCAGATTTTATTGCTGGCCCATTGCACGAAGGTAGTTCAGGACACCCCGCTCACAAATGATACACACTCACTCTGCTTAGAGCCATGTGAAAACCCGGAAAGAAACATTTCCAAGTGCAAAACTTTCACACAGGAAGACATTTAAATTCGAACCAAGCTAAGGTCCAAAATTTATGTACCAAGTCAGGACATTAGCTCAGATCCATGATTTAATATGGCCACTGGAATTCCTGTGGTTAAATTATGCATCTGACCTCTTCACTGTATGTATTTCAACAGTCTTAAATAATAAGCGGGATGCTCTTTATTGCCATTTCCAGTTCTAATGACCGGCAAGTCTATAAAAAGCAGCATTCCCAGGGACCCAGGCAGGGAGGTCAGGGCAGCGGCAGCACTTTGCAGGGCACTGCCACCCTTCGTGAAAGGTGCAAGGCCACCTTTGGCTCCAGCAAAGGCTCTCAGAGAAGGCAAGGGGCAAACCAGCTCCAGAGCAGGGCTTGAAACGGCAACATCTCAACTCCCTGAATCCCAAGCATGACACAGGTTAGAAGAGCAAAAGGCACCAGGGGAGGAGCAGCTGATAACGCAGGGACAGAAAGACAACATCTGATGAAGGATACCGGTAGGAGAGGCTACAGAGACAGCAAAACTCATCAGAGTTTCCAGACAGCTCCTCACTCCTGGGGGGCAGAGGACAGGAGCCTTCCGTGCATCAACATGTACATCAACAAAACAGAGAGCAGGAAACTAGCTCTGCACGGGATAAAACAAGAATTGTTTTACCATTTTTGAAGACAGAAAGAAAAAAAAAAGGCAGCAGAACATTCATCAGTGATGAGCTTTGACCGCTGAGGATGAGAGCAAGGGTATTTACTGGCCAGAGAAAAGCACATTTTTTATTAATACACTTTTGGCTCTCTTTATGATACTTCAATATAACCTCTGGCTACTACACAGATGAGTGTGTATTAGACTAAGATAGATTTAATAAAATTCTATTTAGATAGATGAGAACATTGCACAATCCGTTACAGAAACGAGTCTATTTTTGAGGAGAGTTAAGGGAAATCTGGACATCCAGTTTTCTGGATTCRTGAGTACAGCTCTTTCACAAAGCACGGGGAGAGGCTGCGAGAGTGAGTAGTTACCAGAACTGCTCCTGCAATATCAGAAATCCTGGTGGTCTACAAGAGAGGAGGGCTGAATTAAGCTAGATTGATGTTCCGTTTGGGTTTCTCCTCTATTTTTTCATTAGGATGAAAAACAGACAGCACACCCACCCAAAGCAACCCAATAACAAAACAAAACAGAATAAAACAAGCTAAGGAGAAATCCTGACCCTGAGAAAACAACCTAATTATAATTATATGGGATTACAAATCAAAGAGAAAGAGCTGCCAAGTTTTTGGAAGCAAATATACACACACACAAAAAAATTCTACACTGAAGGAAAAAAAATCCCGATTTGAAAGGATTTTTAATACAAAACAAGACAGCAGAGACCACAGATGTTTATTTATCCATTAAAATTGATCTGCCCTTTCCTGCAAGTTCTTCCAAGGAACAGTTTTTAATTAAAAAAGGAAAAAAACCCCACTATAACTACAGCATGCAAGATAGCAAACTAAATCTCTCTCGACCTTTTACAACTGACTTGATGATGACCTTCAAAAGACTCTCAACATTTCAAAAAATTTTACAGTTTACACTAAAAAGAAATATTTCAAGGCCATTTTCTCCTGCCTGCATCATCAGCATTAAGCCCTAAAACATAGAATTAGTTAGAGTTAGAAACAGGAGAAAAATCTACCTCACTTAGATGTCAAATTTCATGATGCACTTTCACACCACAAACCATTAGAAGTCCACCATGTGCTTGTGTTTCGCGCGTGCTAGGGGTGTAAGCAGGTTTTAAAATTCATCCAGGATTCCCATTTCTAGAGGATTTCCTTTACTTATTTTTCCCCACTACTGCACACCCTTTCAAGGGCCACAAAGGAAAACTTAAAGAATTTTCAATAATTATGCATGTGGCTTGACCAAAGYCCGATCATGCCGGTCATCTGATTATTGCTGCATTTCTTTTTCCCTGCTAGATAAGCACAGTTAATCCAAAACCCTGCTCCCAGGCAGGAACTCATTTTTGGGGGGKTTTGAGGTGAAGGCAACTACTTGCACGTTGTAACGTTTTCATTTTGCATTTCCAAGAGCTGCCGGTTACGGTGGATGAGGCCCGTACATGGAGGAGCAGCTCCCACCTGGCTGCTGGCAGGGAGCACCCAGAGCTCTCAGGTGAAAAGGCATCAGCACAAGCAAAGCAACAGCAGGGAGCAGCGCTGCCTTCCCCACCAGGATTCTTCCACCTTACCCTCATACCATGAAACACAAAGCCCAGCAGCATGTACTTTCTGCCTCTGAAGCACTACAACTTGAGTAAGACGATTCTTCTTTTATTGCTYTACTGAAAGCATTATCCAGGGCATGTAAATAGCAAGAAGAACCAAGAAAAACTTTGGTTTTCCTCAGCACTGCACATCTCATGAGCTTTGCTTTTCTCATGAGCTGATTGGGGTTTGTAGGGCAACTTCAGCACATTAGCACATCGAGGAGCAACGTAACAACTCGAACTTCCTCTAAGATCACGAGCTCGTCCTGGCTGGCAACCCTCACACATGYCCTTGGCATCTGTCCATGGGACGGGTGCCCAAGGGGCTACTGAAGAGAGACCCATGTCACAGGGCTGGTGTGACAACTGCCATCGCGGGCACCACAGAAAGCCACCAAGGATGCCCTTTTGAGACTCAACTTCACAGCTTTGTGCCACCACCTGCACCCTGGTACAACCCCCAGAGACTCCTGGCACGACAGCAGGGAGGTTAGAGGGATTTACTCCAGGCCAGGATGCACGACGGGCACGGCATCCCCATCAYACCGCAGCAAGCGCGTCCACACCAGGGTGCCTCGCTCTCCCCTGGCTGGGCACAGCGGGACCCCCAAGGGGCTGCGGCGTCAGAGCGGGGGTGATGCCCAGGAGGGACAGGGGGAAAACCAGGGAAGGGGACGCTCTGCTCACCTTGCTGACGACGTTCTGCACGAGGCCGGCTCTGATGCGGTAGTGCCACTCGTGGCACTCGCACTCGCTGGCGTTGCCCGCCGGCAGCGTGGGCAGCACGGGCGACGGCGTTGGGAAGAGGCTGCCGTTGCCGCCGCTGCGGTTGGCGGGCCCCGGAGCCAGGTAGCCGCTCCAGTTGCCCTGCCCGTCCGCCTCCCGGCACCAGAAGTCGGGCTGGTCCAGGAGGAAGGAGTCCGAGAACTTGCTGAAGCCGATGAAGAGGGCCGGGATCCAGGTGAGCAGCACGAGGGTGCGCTGGTACCCGCCGCCCAGGCCGCCCAGGAAGGGCAGCACGGAGCCGTCGTAGTCGAGCAGCAGCGGGCTGCAGGCGGCGGCGGCG